GTTATAGTTGTTTGTTCGTTATTCAAGCTGAATTTGGTTCGTGGCCTTACAGTTGTTGATTCGTTATTGAACCTCAATTTGGTTCGTGGTTAGTTATACTTATTGGTTCGTTATTGGCGTTGAATTTAGTTCGTGGTTTGTTATAGTTGTTGGTTCGTTATTCAAGCTGAATTTAGTTCGTAGTTAGTTATAGTTATTGGTTCGTTATTTAAGCTGAATTTAGTTCGTGGTTTGTTATAGTTGTTGGTTCGTTATTCAAGCTGAATTTAGTTCGTGGTTAGTTATAGTTATTGGTTCGTTATTTAAGCTGAATTTAGTTCGTGGTTTGTTATAGTTGTTGGTTCGTTATTCAAGCTGAATTTAGTTCGTGGTTAGTTATAGTTATTGGTTCGTTATTGAACCTGAATTTGGTTTGTGGTTTGTTATAGTTTTTAGTTCGTTATTCAAGCTGAATTTAGTTCGTGGTTAGTTATAGTTCTTGGTTCGTTATTGAAGCTGAATTTGGTTCGTGGTTAGTTATAGTTATTGGTTCGTTATTGACGTTGAATTTGGTTCGTGGTTAGTTATAGTTGCTGGTTCATTATTGAAGCTGAATTTAGTTCGTGGTTTGTGATAGTTGTGGTTTGTGATAGTTGTTGATTCGTTATTCAAGCTGAATTTAGTTCGTGGTTATTAATAGTCGTTGATTCATTATTGAAGCTGAATTTTGTTAAATTAAAATAACTTACTTGATTCTCTACCCTGTATCCTTATTATAACCAGATAATAAACACCAAGATAAAAATATATCATTTTATTGATCTGTTGTCAGCACCACGATTCAAATATAAATGATTATTATCATATACCACTTACATCCGTAGTATGTGTCATAGAGTAACAGAAAACGATATTTAATCAGGAAGTTAAAGATATAGTACCTCTTAGATGACCATGCCCACATGGTGTAGAAAAGTAGGACGTAAAACTCCATTCACTTCATCTAATTTCAAATAACCACCATATTGAATAATATTCTTACCTGGCGTCAAAACTATACGACATAATCCCTCTATAATCCATAAAACTAAGTAATATACCATTAAACGAAGTAATTTTGAAACACGCTTAGAAGCGCTTTTCAATGAATATTTAGTAAATGGAAAGATCGTGTTATATAGAGATTCTATTTTTCAGTCATGGCACCTGGTAAATCCAACTGATGAATATATACTCTTATTGACCATGTTTGAGAATTTAACTTCTATTTGTATTCTTAGTGGTAGTATTCCTTTAACGAACGAACAATTATTTCTTATCGTCGTCGTTAAAAAATGGTGGACCATTCAGGTCGACTATACGAGCCATTTTTTGCCAGGAAAAACGGCTATACTATTATAGGTACTTTTCATTTTAGGTGAATATGGGAACCTCGTTAAAGTTAGTTAAACAAATAGAGCTGATTTATAAGGCGGAGTAATATAATATATTTATCGTTGTTATTAGTCAATAAAATAGTTCGGTTGAATGATTTTAATTTCCATGTTTTTCCATGAGTAAACTGACAGAAAGGTGATTCATTTTTAAAATATTTACAATCTCCATGACATGGTTACGTTAATTAAAGAACGATAAATCATTTCAAACTATATCTATTCAGACCGCAGTAAAACTATGAATCCCAATTTCACTGACAGAATAGATAATTTTACAAAATGGCTAACAGATTAAAGTTCAAAAACTCGACAAAGAACCATAATTCATATAACTTACGGTGGTTTTACTACAGATCACAGTAAAAATGGATTTCCTCCCCTCACCACCTTAAAAATGCCTGACAACCGAACTATTCCATTACTGCAACTTAACACCGTTGTCTCACCGAACAATCAAGTCTGGCTTTGGACCTGACTTTGATTAGCCGTTGACGATCCTGTTGGTTACAGACTGAGCCACCAAACCTAACTGGATCAGAATAAACCTATCACTGTCATTAAGTTACACAAAACTTGAGAATGGTTAACAATGGGACAGATTAATCTTGACGACCAAAATCCTTAACCTTTGATTCTTAATCAATCGATCACTGATCACTGATTGTTTTTAGACTTTGGCAGGTCTATCACTACCATAGTCAAATTCCAACACCGGTCTGATAGTCAATTTCACGCGATGAGTTCGAACCCGATGTCAGTTTAATGTCATCTACTCTGTTCAATAAGGTTTTCAGGACGACTGAAAATTGGAATGGTGCAAATTGATGCTCCAATGCACATAGAGAAATAACACTTTTTAAACTCATTACAATCCCTATAAGTTTTAAAGAGTTCATGGTGATGTTTATGAGTTATTACAATTTTATGAATTCAAGTGCAGATTTCATAGCAATCACAATAACCAGTAAATACAAAAAAAATCTATCTGAATAGCCGAGTCTATATATTGCTTAACCAGCTGATTGAGTTCGATTTTAGCTATCTGTATATTCATCTAAATATTTACTATACCGGCTGATATCAGCTATCTGTATAGCCGTCTATAGAGTCTCAAGAAAAGACTACTCGTCTTTGTAACTTTCAAACGCGGATAATTCTGGACACACATTTCGACGATAAATTGTGAACACTATTAATGATCGTTTAAAGTAATCCCTTTTTTGAGACTATGGTACGACTGGTAAAAAAATGGCGCATCTGTCCCCTTAAGGGCGTCGGCTGTTCTATGGATTAAATACAATATTTCGTGTTAAGGTAGCAAATATTTGTCTGCTCCAGTTTAGGCTAATGAGGAATATGCACTGACGACATTTTGCCGGACAGCCTATTCAGTTTCGATTTCCCACTATCGAGGGATCTTTTACGTGCACACCTGTTGTATACGTTGGCCTTCCTTTATTATTCCATCCGAACGACTAGACGCGTTTCCCATGCCAACCCTACAAAACATGCACAGGCTTCATATTCAGATTTTGTCACGACAGTTCGCTATTTTCCAATTGTTGAGGGGATCTTTAACGTGTACAGGATATATCACAAAGGGGCGTTTGTTTATTGTTCCATCACGAACCACTCGAAGTCGATTTTATGTCACCCCTCCGACCTGCATCGCAAATATGGCCAGCCAGGTTGAATTTCCATGTGAATATGGAAACATCGTTAAAGCTAGTAAAACAAATAGATCTGATTTATTAGGCGGAGTAATATGATATATTTATGGTTGTTATTAGTCAATAAAATAGTTCGGTTGAAAGATTTTAATTTCAATGTTTTTATGAGTAAACTGACAGAATATTGATTCATTTTTAAAATATTTACAATCTCTGTAACAGGTTAATGTTCATAGTGTTATTAAAGAACGATAATTCATTTTAAACTATTTTACTTCAGACAACAGTAAACTGATACTGAATGATAAGTTATTTGGAGTAATTTATCTCAAAACACAGGAAAAATGGCAACAGATCAATAATAAAAATCCGTAAAGCAAAACTATTTACACATCAGTTCTAAAACTTTACAATTAAAGAACAATAATCTATCATAAAATATACAGGCTTCAGACGACAGTGAAACTAATACAAAAAAAATATAGAAAATACCGACACTATTGAATTTGGGATTGGAACTCTATGGTACGCCTGCAGCTTGAGCTGTATCATAAGTGTGACCATCGTCCATTATATTATCAAGACCAGCGTAGTTACTTTCTGGACCCCTCGGTTCTAGTGCTAGTGGTTTTGATGACCCTAAAATGATTAATATACTACAATATGATATATACAGTAACAGATGACAATATCAACTTTAGCTTCAATGATAAGTATTGTAATAAGTGTTACACACGAGGTAAAACACGTACAGTACTTCCTTCCAGACACTTTTGGAAGGCCAGTATAACTGATTTTCCCCTCTTTTTTGCAATACAACTAATAAATATACCAAATAACCAATATATGGACCCTCCGAGAGGTCTGTTGCCGGCAGACATCACAAGAGAATGGGGCATGCCCTGAAAAACATTAAGTGAGGGAGCGGCCGAGCAAAGGGCACACAATTTTCCAAGGGAGCCTCAGTGCCTACATTGTTTTTTTTTATGTATCCCTTTAATTCTAACAATGTTGGATATTATTATTACGTCATATTTCTATTATATGACAGGAAAAGCTTTAGGATGTGTCTCAAATATCGGTTTTAAGTAATTTGATGTTAAGGCATATAGACTAAACATCAGATCGAGTTCAGTCCACTTTCAGAATAACATTTCAACGTCTGATTAACCTGCTATAAAACTTCGACTTCCGGTCGAACAGAAGTTCTCTCATTACAATCAGACACGGGTCAGTGGTTCAACTACCATAGAGACTGGTTGAAT